TACTAACATCAGCACGAGTGTGATCACAAATAGACTATACTATCATAAACCAACGTTAGAAAATTTTAAGATTATATTCCCTATTATTTTGACAACTTTTTATTACACAGATTGAAACCATGAGTCAATTGAAGCTAGACCACCATGGAAAACCTGGTAGCACTGGATGCCGCTTGGCGCGAGACTGATAGCTCCTGGGTTCGAATCTCGTGACTGGCGGGATCGTGGATGCGCACTGCTAAGGAGTCCCATACTAGGACGAAACGGCCGTCCAGTGCTTCTAGGTTATCCATGGTGGTCTAGCTAAAATTGACTCATGATTTCAATCTGTGAAATTTCTAAAATCTCCACAAACCCCTTCTGATAACTTTTTATTAGTTATCGTTTTTTTTTATAACTGTCAAATTGTTCAGTATGCTTTCTGTGCCTTGACCAATAGGTAAGCTAGTGTTATATCAGTTTACAAGTAATAACTTTTCATGGATAATTTCTTTTTCGTGTTTATACCATCCACCTAGAAAATTTATTTTACTTCACTTAATAATTTTTTCCAGTATTACTAATTTAATAATAAGTAAACAAGTCAATTGAATGCATAATACTGTTTTCTTTTTAATATTTATTTAGACAATGAAATGTATTAACAAACTGTTGTTTTTTCAATCTACTTAATTATTGAAAACAAAATTTGTACACCGAAATAGTTTTTCTTTCCGTTCTTTTTCTTCTTCTTCCTTTTCCTCTTCCTCTTCATTTTGTTATTATTTTGAATATTCGGTGAAATTTTTCAATTTGCATATTAAATTGATATTTAATCGAAAAACTAACTAACTAATATACACAAAATAAGACAATTTGTCATTAATATAAACTACTCATTTAGTCGTTTATAATAGTGTGTATGTCTATCATTGATCAATGAATAACAAATGACTAATTTTATCTGTGTTCACTTTCATAATTCAAAATAAGACAGAATAAAAATTGGTTTGTTTGTTTGTTTGTTTTACTACAACAGTTGACTTTGAAACTTATTGAATAGTGGTGGCATAAAGTTAAATTTCCTACTTTGGGCTATGGATTTATGTAAATGTCGAAATTGTGTTTTATGATAAATAGACATACATACACAACCACGCATACACCCTTTACACTTAACTAGCGTAGTTTTTTATTCCTATCTTTTTCTTTATTTTAAACTATATCAATTGTCATGTGCAACATCATTACTACATTAGTCCAGATAAATAATAACATTGAATGATTCATGATCTCAATCAAAACTCAACAATCTCCACAGCCCCATACTGACAATTATCATGTGCTCACTAGTGACTAGCTTCGAGAAGTAATTCTCTGATTTCTAATGAAGAGCTGTGACCAATGAAGTCCATTCGTGTCAAGTGTGAGACAATTACCCACCGAATACAATGGAAGATGGTGAAGAAATATCATGTATTGGTTGAAGTTAGATATTAACACCGCTGGATTTCGGCTCAGTGGTTTAGAGGTTAAACGTTCGCGCTCGAAACCGAAGGTTCTGGGTTCAAATCCCGCGCGCGGGGTCGCGGATGGGCAGTTGCATTACTTGATGGAATGTGGTTAGCATTGCGTTTCAGAACAGGTGTTTCAGTCAAGTATATCAACGAGATAATACAAATAATTTAAAATTGGACCCGATTATATTTCTTGCTCTTACATTTGCTTTACTGTTAGTAGATATATGTTGTTTTTTTAAAGGTCATGTTATGCTTAGTGTTATTATTATTATTATGAATTATGAGTATGAATATATAGGAATATATATCATACCTGTTGATATACTTTTCATGACTAAAGTGAGTAGCCGCTATGGTCTCCGGTGAATGCTGACTACTCTTGTAAGTGCTTAGTGGGGATTCTCTTATTTACGTTAGACAACTGTTGAAAACCAAGAAGCACCGAACAAATATTTTTTCTCAGTACAGAGCTGTTCAACAGTATCCATCCACGATCGTATCATATATCACACGCAGGACCTTCAAATCTTGGTGTGATCTAATTTTTAAAGTATTAGGACGAGATAGCCATTCAGTGCTACTACTGGAAGAAAGCCAATCATTTTAAATATTCATCAGTTACACCATAGATCCAAACATATATTCAGGCAAATAATGACGATCAATTAAAACAACTGAACAGTATGCTTGACTTTTACTAATACTGTCAAGTAATTGTAAAGATAACAGAAACAATTTCATTTGACTATGAAAGGTCATAAATACAATAGTCAAATTAAGTCATTCAATAGCTAAGATTACTATTGATAAGTTGGCATTGAGATTGGCCAGAGGAGTAGAAGCGGTTGAAGGTATTTCTTTTGCACGTATAGCTCCGGTTTCTAAATCCGGATGCATACTGCTTTAGCCATCTGAAGGACTTTAAGTCTGAGAAGCTTTGGCAACAAATTACTGACTCGATAAATAATTGCAAAGGATCGTTTTTTAGTGGCACTACGACCAGTTTGCACTCAATGGGTCAGTATGGAGCTGTTCACTTTCTTCACTAGACCTTTGCTTAGACAGGCTGGGAGGTGTTCCTAGAACTTCAACCAATATAGCTTGCTCCTCAGGAGCAGTCGGACTGATAAGTACGAAATGAGGTGGTCATTGTACGATATACTTTGCTCTTACCCTGGGTATTTTTCGGATTATTAATTTAGATATATGATTGTTAAACCTGAAAAGAATTTATCGAAAAAAATATTCTTCGTTCAAATATTAGTCTTTTAAAATTAAGTTACATAATTGAGTAAATCAAGAAAAAAGCCGCCACGCATAGTTTGTTATTTTCCATCATAATTGTTATTGTTATTGTTTCTTTCTCGTATTCCCACAAAATACATTATTCGTCTGGATTTTACACACTTCATCTGTCAAGCATACAAATTAAGCGTTAATAGCATTTATAGTAATAATAATAGATGTTAAGGGAAGAGAAAAAATATAGCAATTATTATGAGCATACAACTTATTCCAAGTGGCGCTTCAGATTAATAATTGAGTGATTTCTCTCTCTTATCGTTAACCTGAAGAGAAAATACAAACAGGCAAAATAGAACAAAATCATTTTCACATTTACATTCATTCTGTTAGCTTTTGCATATACACATACAATTGTTGTTGTCGTCTCTAAGATCTGATAATCCATATTAGATTTACAATGAACAGCATGCTATTGATTTGTATTCTCTAATGTATATTCATGCACTGTTGTAGTTGTTTTGGGAAGTATGGTGTTAAATGAGATGCTCAAACTCATGAAATTCACACAATGGAATGGGCGATACAATCATTAAGTGATTAAAAGTATAACATCCTGTTTATTCAAAGTTTTCATTGATTGTCTAACTATTATCATTGGTTGATGAAATTTCCTTCAAAAGTGAATAATTTTCATGTAACGACCTTACCTTCATGATAAAATTGTCTTTATATATTATTTGATTGGGATGATTATTTTTAATAATAATAATAATAATAATAATAATAATAATAATAATAATAATAATAATAATAATAATAATCTACGTCTGATTGCATACGGTACAACACTCACAGCATTAAATGTGCTGAGTTACAACCTTTCTAATGTAATTTTGTTTACTGCATTGGATAATGTATTGTGAAGGTAATTTAAATTTTTAATTTAACAAGTGAAATGTCTTCTCTCCAGTTCTCTGCTTCCATATGCCATTTTGTAAACAGAGCCATCAGCTCATCAACTTCATATGTGTATGTCTAAATATAGAGCAGAAATTGTAACTATTGAATTTGTTGACTCCACTTACTATCAATCAATATTAGTGAAGTGAAAAAATTTATGATTTTCAAAACAATTAAACAAGTTACTGATAAGTAGTTTAGCACAAACTTTAGATGATAGTTATTTCATAAATTTTTTTTTCAACAAATTAAAATATAACAGTAAAAGGTTTTATCATCATCCTCATACTCATGAATAGTAACATCAATGATTAGACTTGATATATTTATTCATTATTCATCATCCAATAGTAAACATCAATAACGATTCACTAGTTGTTATAATGAATTTTATCATTCAAAATAAGAAGAGTCAAAATAACAATTCATTAATCAAGAAAAAGAAAAGAAAACAGACTTAACAATAAATATAATTATTCATTTAAATCTAACTAAGTTGATCTCATTAATCATAATTGACTAAAACTTTTTTTAAACAAAAAACACATTTCCCCTGAAGAAGAAATAATAGCGAAATAAATAATCATTATATAAATGCATTGTTTGATAAATATTTTTCTCAGAAGGGGTTTTGTGGAGATTCTAGCAATTTTTTTAATAGTTGAAATCACGAGTCAATTGGAGCTAGACTATCATGGAGAACCTAGAAGCACTGGGTTCGAATCTCTCGGGGAGGGGGTATCGTGGATGCGCACTGATAAGGAGTCCCATACTAGGACGAAACGGTCGCTCAATGCTTCCAGGTTATCCATGGTGGTCTAGCTTCAATTGACTCATGATTTCAATTGAATTTATTATGTTAAAGTTTCAAATAGTCACTTTTAATACGTAATCTCATGGCTAATTAATTCTGATTTTAATATCTGTCAAGAAATTGTTTAAGGTTATGTACTAAAATTACTGTCCCAATTTTAATGCCTACGATTATTATTTTTTTCTTTGAATTGTTAATCATAAAGAAATTAATTTCTTATTTCATGTTAACATTCAGAGCATTTCTTTTCAATGTAGTTATTCACATATTTACTGAAATGTCACTATAAATCATAAACCCTATCTGATTTAATCTTCTTGTTCTTCTTATGATTATGATAAGCATTATCGACTTGGGAATCTATTTGTATTTTTTTTTACTACAATTTCAGTTCGTAGAGTTAATTCATGTTTCTAAGTGTTTTTTTTTGTGATAAACTATTGTATTGGTATTTATTTATTTATTTTCTGAAAATTTCTCAGCACAAACTGAAAATCAAGAAGCATTCAATAAGTATTGGTCAAGACATTTTCAGGAATTTGAACGTATACTCATCGTGAATTTATTAAGTTCTGGACGTAAACATCGTGAAACTATATTAACCGATGCATTTTTACGTCATATTCTATTATCGAAAAATGAACAATTAGCTTATATAGGCTTTGATTTTCATGATTTTTGGTAAGTTATTTTTGTACGTAAATAGTTTTAATGTGCAATATATCTATTTTTATGTATGGATATACGTGTCTATCTGAGTTATAAGAAACACGAAAAACTATGTTTTTAAGTTATCTCTGCCTACACTCCAATATCCTACTGCTAAATAACAACCAGTGGCTTTCTAGGGCTTATTGAATGATCTTTTAAATCAATAGTTCTCGAGCGATATTCTAATGTGTTAACTGTGATTTTAGTATGTAGGCTGAGTTTTAGTGACAGATGCAAGATATTCGAGTACTCACTAGTGTTTTTTATACTCCAGATTGAGTAACAGATCTCTTCTTCGGTGTCACACTATACTCTAACTTATGATTAACCAATACTATCTAGAAAAACAATCGTCATTATTGTATTACTAGGTTTTTTCTTCCTATTCTTGAGGTCGAGATTTAAAACCGATTGTATTACAAACACTTAGCAACTCCAATTCTCTAATTTCAACAAATGTTCCTTAATTTTGATCAAGCTTAAAAGTATGGCCAACTGATTAATGTGATCTAATATATCCCGCTTAATCACTGCAACCAATTGTTAATTGAGATTTTTTTCACATTAGCCATCAATGTACCTATAATTAGAAATGAAAATTTGGATCCAATAAGAAGTCACATTGATTTTTAGAGATCCTCGATACTTTGAGGGATGCAATGTTCTTAAATACTGGGTTTTTGTGCACTTGCAAATTTTTATCACTATTTTATTCTGAAAGAATATGAGGACAATAGTATATGACGTTATCTCAGACTATTAATGATTAGGGTTTTTTCCACCGACAGTTAATTTCCAATTGTCTTTGGGAACCTAAAAGCATAGAATAAGATGTGTAATTTTTTATTGCTGGCTGGTACTTCAGATAAGTAATAATGATTCTTAGTTTTCAAGTAACAATCATTTTAATTTATTCAATAAACTGTTAATTAACTTATATGGTTAACGGTATAGGAGTTTTGTTGAGCCTTGCGGAGCTTTCTTTATTTTCCCCTTCTTTTTCTTCTGCATTTTCTTTGTTCACATACTTTATTACTTGTTTTACTTTACGACTCTACTTTTTTTCATGACTTTTCTTTTCTGTGTTGTAATATTTGTCATTGTATGCAGTTATGTACCTGTAAGAAGTAGTAGTTCATATAAAATTCTAGTGAATAACTGTAGTCGGTGTAGTTTAGTCGTGTTGGGTATGAGACAGTTATCTGCCTCAGGCAATAAACAAAGCTTAAATAATGTTTCTAATAGATTGCAGTTAGACATGAACACCCTCGGATCCTAGTCCTGTATTAATCTAGAGGTTAAGCATTCGAGTGCGAAGCCGAACGTCGCGAGTTTAATTTTTGACTGCAGGGTTGTGGATCCGTTCCTGTGAGGAGTCACTTATTACGATAAATCGGCCATCCAGTGTTTCCAAGTCTTCGTTGGTTCGTGATATAAACTATGAAAATCAAATAGAATTGTATAGAGAAAAGCAAGCATTGTTTATTACTGTAACCATTATCACTTACGTATTGTTCTTTTGTGCTTAGTCCTTGAACAAGTTATTTGTTCTCTTCATAAATATATATATATATATACATCATACATTAATTTGTTTAGCAAATGGGACATTTTGTAAAATGTTAAGTATAATGTAACTATTTTCCTATAGGAAACTAAAGAAAAACAACTTATATTCTAACACTATAATTTATCAGATTGCATACAATGATGACTTTTGACAAATAGTTTGATTTTCAATATTATAAGATGGATAGGTTAAAATTATGACAGAAAAGGGTGTCTATTATCCCACGGTTCCTTAATTTTGGAAACTAAAATAATTCTTAACTGTCGATAATTAACTGACTGTTATTTAATATATAAAACTGGAAAAACCATTTGGTAAACTAGAAGTCATCACTTTTTATCATGTACTTCTGCTTTAATTTAATCATTTTTAGTAAATCGATCAAGTTCGACTTAAAAACGTATATTGATTTTATTAGATAATATGCCTGATTACTCAATATCATCAGTTGACCATTATATTCTAATCCAACTATCAGGTTTTTGTAAAGTTCCACATCACATTTGTCAATATTCCTTTGTATTCAATGACATTTTATATGAAATTAATTGTTGATGAAAACGACTTTCAATCGAATTAAAGATATTTATATATATACAGTGAATATCCATCATGAGTTTGTATGTTTGTATCTTCTCTATATATGGGTGTTCTACAATGAGTTTACCTAGCGTTTCTCTGGATACAAAACAAACTTAATGATTATATATATGAGAAAGTTTATACAACTTAAACTTGTGTTAATTTTATTTCGGTTATTTATTTACTCAGAAGAAGTGACTGACATTAAGTCACGAAACGTCAGAAATATAATTTTCTATTCATTAGGATATCACAAATAGTATATTTATTATTAACTTTTTTTATCCGATACTCAATTTATTTGAAATTATCAAGTTCTAATTTTGGGATTTTAGGAAACCTAATTATTGACGTTAAAAGAAATCTCAGTTAAATCATCCAATTAATTTTTATATATAATTAGATATACCTTTTTAACTAGTCGATGAGAATAGAGAAAAAATTATTATCACTTATTCATTTGTTGATTTTACATTGAAATGGTATATATAAACGTTATTAATTTATCGGAGCTTGCTTTTCGTGATTGATAATGAAGGTTAAGTTGTACTGGTATTTCTAAAGAAATTACTGACTACTCAGTTAGCTTGATTTAACAGATTGATTAATCGATTTTAAGTTGATTGATTGAATCGATTGATGATGATCATTTAATAGTACAAACTGAATTATGTCATTTGCACTATTGTATTTCAATGGAGAATAGTCACGTCCATAGATTTCTTTATTGTATCCATGTAGTTGCTGCATTTGATCCCGTTCGTAATTTTTATGTCGATGCATTTTATTTTACATTGATCATACCTTAGTGACTGTATGTGATAGTATAATACTCAAGTTTTTCCAGCACATCAGGCTGTAATTATCAATAAATATGTGTTATCTTTTAAGTATGCTTATAGAACGTTTTGAGGTTAAATCGTTGGTATACTCGCTTAAGTACCTTGTATAAAAGAACAGTAAGAGATTTGCATTCCAGATGTTGGATGTTGATTATCTGGTGAACCAGATTTTTAATACGACGTAAGATTCAAGATTTTCTAAGTATTGCAAAATATTTGGTCAGCACTTTCGTTTGAAATTATGTGATCAGTTTCGCAATAGCTGGACGTCAAATGTATGTGAGGTGTTCAAAAGAAAATTAGATTTGTAAGAATCTCAAAGATCGAAATCAAAAATCACTCCAGTATCCCAACCCATCAGTCGCAGTTAATTATATTAAGGGAGATGATCAAAATTATAGGAAATAAAGGGAGGACCTCTAGTTGTTTAGTTCTGGTTAGTAAATCCTAGTGTCGTCCCTGTTACTACAGTCGCAGTAGCATAATTTCTAATTTATATTTCTTCATGACCTTTACTATTCACCAAATGACTGTTATCACTTTTAGTTTTTTTATTTTCCCGTGTCCATAGATCGTGTTCTGTCGCTATACACATAGATCTGTTCTTCTTTACCTTTGACTTCGCTAATTGTCAAGCCTTTTCTGCACTTCTGTTATCTTCTTAGGTTCCATCATTTCAAGATTATCGTTGAGTCGTTGTATTTCAACTATTATGTCATCCAGTTCGCTCTAATTCCCTGTTTCGTATTATGAGAATCTCGTTCCTTGGTAAATAAAAATTACAGTAGGCCCAAATGAACCAGTCTTAAAACACAACACGTTTACAAAACTGCTGTGTACTGAACAACTGACCAATTACATCGTAACACTTTTTACAGGAAGTCTCATAAAAATATTCCTAAAATTTACCGTCTTGTTTATACCTTTATATCATTACATGAGATAAATGGTTTCAGTGAAACACTGAAATCACCATCATATAATTATGAAAACTCGTAGGAAACGTTTTTTGCATTAAGTAAGGTGTTAGTAATTCAATTTCAATAGTTTATTTACATACAATTGAATCCCATTCCAATGTTTAATTTCAAAATTGTTGAGTCACAGTGCAGCTATAGTGTATGCTAATCATATTGACAGATATAAGTAGTACGCAGTATTAATCGGAAGTAGAAGATCTAACATCAGGAGATTGAATTAAAGAGAACAGAAAGGAAAACAGAGAGCACAAAGAGCAAGAATGAAGAAGTATGTACAGGACAACTGAAGGAAAATGTGCAAACAATGTATAGTTTTTATTATATTTTATAAAGACACTGTATAACTTTGCATGAAATAATATATCGGTTATCCCCACCAAGTCTTCGTTCACTACACAACAACTGTTTGTACTATTATAATTTTTTTTAATATAAAAAGGATTAATTTATTTACTTTTAAATAAAGAAATATGACAAATACTTCAACAAAACTATCCTCTTTATATACAATACTATAAAAGTAAGTTATTCAGTTCAACTAAATATCACTTTGAAACAATGTCAGTAATAAATAAGTGTAAAAAGTGTTTCTAATTACATTCTGTCAATAATTTGTATACTATCTATTGGTATAAATTAGAGAACCATAGGAAACTATCAATGAGCAATGATTCGATTTAAAACGACCTTGTTTTACACTTCTATGGTAAGGGATTTTTGAAACAGATATGTTTAGTTAATTTTTGCATTGGTTGTTTAAATCTTCTCATTGATGTTTAGAACTGCAATTGATAAGTCTCATATTGGCATATATACATCCTGTTCAGATTGCCTCAATATTACCATAAGTCACAAGCATTATAAGCAGAGATGATTGGTGGCTAGGAGTGATATCCAGGACACGCGGTTCATCCCATTTGCGACTTGATAGCTGGGTGGATATGTTTAATTGTTCCAGACTATTAATAAAAATGTCCTACATCGGTTAAAAACAAT